TATTAAATTAAGCAATAGGACACTGAAGCCCTAAGTTTTCCATAGCAGAGAGAAACAAACACCCTCAGAGACCAAGGCTGACTTAGACATTCCTCTAGGGCACTTGACAGTAGCTAAAATTCATTTAAACTTGAACCACTGGCTCTCTCCTCGCTATAAAAAAATAGTGTGATTTGCAGCAGCAATGACCATCAACAGAGAGGGACATTTACAGTACGTACAGGGATCCACTTTCCTATACCTTGAGCTTTATTGCTTTTTTGCAGTTGACAGAATTGGTTTCTTTTCCATAACCCTCGGGGTTGCTATTTTATTATCATGAATTATTTGGGATTAGTAATGAAGTGCAGATCACAGTGTCAGGAGTCCTTCACAGGGGGTGTATGCTCTGCACTGTTGTTTGATTCTCAAGAGAATCGTTCTCACTTTATTAAAAAATATTCATTATAACTTATAGAGAGTCCCAATATTCCCCCCCCCCCATATATGCAGCTGCATATATATTTGCTATATAATTTTGGGGAAGTGCAGGACTCACAGTCCTACTGAAAGTAATGTGTGTTGTTCTAGTGTCCTCCTAGAAACTTCAAGTATCAGATGATACATCAAATACTAAGTTTCCCTCTTTCACCGCTATATCCTACAATCTCACTTGGCTCTCACCTCCTCTTTCTCCCAGCAATAAATTTGCTTATTGACATGAATGACTGTTTTGCTGAGCACAACTTCAGTGTTTGGCCCTTAGCTTCTCTGAGAGCAAAGGTGACATCCAGATCAGATGCAATGCTCAAGTGCTTCCTCAGCTTATTTGAGGCATCAGTACAGAAAGAATTTGACTGTGTGACTCATGACTAAAGCTGTGTTTAAGGAAGGAAGGACAGAAGGAGATTTGTTCAGCACAAGCGACAAGAAAATCTGCAGAATCATCATCATAACCATCCTGCAAACTTACATTCCTCACTAGTCCCATCTGGCCTGATCCAAAGGCCATTGGAGTTTGGATTTGGACCAATGTGCAGATGCCTTGTCTGTCCAAATCCTGCACAGAATAAAATGTTGGCTTTCTTTATTGGCAGAGGATTTAGCAATAGGAAGAAGTTCAGTCCAAACCCTTTCTCCATGTGTGGCTGTTCCAAGAGCTCCCAACTCACAAAGGTTCAGCCTTGACCCTACATCCTCCTGCTTCTACTCCATGATCATCTGGCTTTCCACTAGCATGACTCTAATAAGGAACTCACGTACGTCAGTCACTCAGCAGCTGAAGCAGGATGTTAAAAAAGAGGATCTCCTCTCTGCTTTGATGGCCAGTTATTAACTAATCGGCGTGGCAGTGCTGGGAGGGTTGTAGGTGGTTCTGTAACCTATCATGCCAAAATGTGAAGAGCAGATAATTTTTATTTCATTATGCTCTTGTTCTGCATAGTCTTCAATATTGTCAGAGTGCTGTATGAACTCTAACCAATTAATGAAACATGAACTGCTTATTAGGTAACCCAAAAGGTCTCTCCCCTACGATCTGTGAATAACAAATCAAAATCAACATGCTGCTGGTAAATGCATATGCATGAAATCTCTTAAGATATCATGGCTAAAATAGCTAATAATAAGCCTCAGAGCATTCTTGAGAAAGCAAAACAGGAAGAGAAAAAGAGACAGCAAAAATAAAACACTGTTCTGCAAAACACTGCCTATGAAAGTTAGCATTGAATAAATGATCAATAAGTCACCATCATGAATGATATTTACAGCTGATCTGCATTACTGCGCTGCTGTGCTGAAGTGTCCAACAAGACTCATATCGACTAGCACTTCCTTCATCAAAATCTGCCTTCATATAAAATTCACCATGATTTGTGAGTTTGCATTTAGTGCATTTGAAGGTAATACTGCCAAACTTTCTCCTGTGTTCACCTGCTGTTTGGAGACCAGAGATATTTTAGGATGAAAACAAACTAAAGATGGTTGCAGAAAGCTTATTATTATAAAAGAATGGAAAATAATAGACTTGTGCATATGGTCAGCCTTCTGCTACCATCATGTCACTGCATGTTATAATTTTCTGTTACTGAAAAGTAGTCTACACACCTTATATTTCCTTAATTGTGGATTTATTAACTCTTTCACCCACACTGCCCTACAATGATTTTTTTCCTTTTATTACCTAAAACATGTCTGGGGCCTTTTCTTCGTACATGCTGAATAGAAAATTATTTGGGTTTAGAATCTGGTATTTCAGGTGTTTCCACTTTCTTTCATACATACACATTTTAAATTCAGATGGGCCCATATCCAAGCTCAGTCCAACCCTCATTTTCCAGAAGGTGAATTTTAGCTCCCCCATCATTTGAATGTTAATTGTGCAGCATCACAATAAAACCACACATGCTCCTTGAAGGCATGAAAAACTCCCTCCTGACCCTTAGAAAAATCTGCCAGTTATTCCTAAATATAAAGCTAGCTAATAACAAGTTCTGTAAGTAATTACACAGCACAGAGCACACAGAGCCTTCCTCTTACCGCACTAATACTGTATGCTTCAAGGGAACACTGAGGAGTAGCAAATTTGTAGTATTAAATGAGCCATTTTCAGGAAAGAGTTTAAAAAATGCGGGTCAATTGAGATGATGAACACAAGGAAATATTCAACAGTAATAGAGAAAAGGAGCTTCACTTTGTAACAGATTTTATCCTTTCTGTATACCTCTTTGCTTCATTCTCCCCTCAAAGCATATGACTTCCAGTTCTTCTCGCCAAGTAGCCCTTTGCTCCTAAACATTTAGTTTTGGTCTGTCCAATGACTGCAGATTTATGCACTTGAACTCTTTCACTTCCTAACATTCTATAAATAAGCCCATCTGGTCTATTTCTGCTTGTGTTCAAGTCCCTTCTCCCCACAGCCTAACTCATACAGTCCCAATTAGATACTGCTTTCTTTTAAGTAAAGTAGACTTTTCAAAACTTGATCTAATGCCTAAGCTCTTTATGTCCCTCAAAAGAATCCTCTAACAGCTGCTCACTGTTACTACACACTAGATCAAGTATTCTGAGATGGATCTATCTCAGAGGTCAACTCCCTCCTGATACTCCATTAAATAATCTGCTGCTATTTTAAACTTTTCTTAGCTTTATTACTTCTACTTCACTGCACCACTTGACATAGACATATTGCATTAAATAACCCATTTACTCAATTGATCAAGATCATTCTCTGAACAACTTCATCCTTCTTAATTTTAAGCATTCTACCTATTTCAGCATCATCTGATAACATACAATAGCACAATATAAATAATGAAGAAAATGTTAACACAAAGCCAATCCTGTAACTACCTGCTTTTGGTCACAAAAATAAATTTGCCTCTTTTCTTCATTGTTTGTTATGTAAGAGACAAGAGAATACTCTTGATCATCTCTTTACTCCTGCAAGCCTTTCTCCTCTGGGACTTCCTATTGACTTTGACACAACTACTCACATAACTGAAAGGATTACTCTCATCGTTTGACGCTTCCAGGATCAGGTTCCAGCTCTTTACCTGTCTTAATAATTTATCACCTAACCCATGTATGTGGAATGTGTAGAATAATACATCCTGTGGAACTTTGTTAAAAGCCTCTGAAAATCCCAATACGTCTCCTGCTTCCCTCATATCTAGATCAATATTTATTTAATTTAAAAAAGGAATCCAATTTGCTTGATATGATTTACTTTCCAAAAATCCATGCTGACTCGCATTATGATGCTGCACCCTTATTAAACTGTAGCCTTATGCTTCTAGGCAATGTGTTTTTGAGACTGCATTTATAGGTGGTGGGATCCTCTGAGGGGCTGCAATAACCAGCACAAGGAATTCAGCACATGCTTATTGCCAAACTGGTCTGTTATATTTTCAGCTCAAACTGTTTTACTTTAAAAAAACAAACCAACAATGACTCTTTTCAAATGGTTTGATACAAGCTCTTAGTTCCCAGTGTATTCACATTGCAAATTGTGGCCATGTGTATCAGGAGTTGTCCTGTGCCCAGCATTATACAGTCCCTACACAAAACCAGTTTCCAGCACGCAGGGAGTTTAGACTATGGCAGCAATCCCACCATTGGTCTTATTGTTGGGTCTCAGCTAGAAGCCAGGCCAGACCAGCAGAAGCAGACAATCAAAATGTCAACAGCACATAGCTATATGATGGAACAAGGAGCTGCAGGGTTTCCTTCTGTTTTGTGTTCATCTCCCAAATAACGCTTTACACTGCTCAAGTAACCTCAGGGAGGCTGTTCCTCCCATGATGACATGAAGCCTCTCCACCCATCCCACTGCTCATCACGTACAGTGATGTGCTACTGTCTCCACATAATGTCTCTTGTACTCTTAGCCCTATCTGCTCAGACAATGGGTGGTGCTCTCTTTAGCAAGCAGACATGCCAACAGAGTTTTCCACTTCAACGCCCATTTTCTTCTAAGGCTTCAGCTCCCAGTTCTGCTGCTATCATTGAATTCATACCATGGCTGACTGGGGTAAGTTCTGTCCAGTACCGAGAGAGGGGGCAGAACCCTCTCTGTTTTCTCATTCTCTCCAATTTGGCAGTTCCCTAAGCATTTCCAGAATCTTATCCTTCAAATAAGTGTTTTCCCAGCTATTGGTCTAATGAAGTTTCCATTTTTATTCTTCCTCTCCTCCTTTTCCTCTTACCATGCATTAACAATGCACTGAACTGAGCTCTTACTGATTTCCTAGAGGACAAGTTGTATAAATACAACAGTCAGAATGGGTATCTTAGTAGGTACTTGCCAGACTGGCATTCATCAGGACTGTGAAACAGAACAAAATCCCATTGTAGCAATGGGACCTTTTAAACCTTTTGTGACAGTATGGCTAAATGTCCCTTCAACCATATGTGTAATACCAGTAGCTGGGCACAGACACACAAACCTACCCAATTCGAATTGTGACATAAATACAGAATTTGCTCAGGTAGTATCAATCTGTTCATGGTATTTCTCCTACCTTGAACTCCATAGGGGTGTACTTCTCATTCTTGGGGGTTGTGTTGCCCTTGTAATGGAGATGGTTGGGAGTGGTTGGGTGGATAACGGTCGACTCCTGGGACTGCCTCTGACAGCGCTGGCAGTACACGTAAATCACAAACGTTAAGAGGCTAGAGCCGAAGAAACAGGAGATCCCGGTGGCAATCAGATGGATGAGACTAAAACCTGCAAAAGAAATTACAAGAGATGCTATCTTTAAAGAACAGCCTTTTTCCCTCCCACGACATGACCACAGGTGCAAATCAGAGCTATGACATCTGGGGATCAACATTAACAAGCTGTTGAAGCCAGAGTCTTGCATTCTAACATAAACTGACATAATCTCCCTGCAAATCGGTCTCCCCACTGCAGTTCTGCCTTGTACAGCTTAACAGGTTCATGCATTGTTTTCTCAAAGCTCCCTTCCTGTCTCTCCTCTCTCCCCTCTATTGATATTGAAACTAAACGTTATGTTAAGCTGACAGCTAAAGAAATGAACCGTACAAACAATGCACATTAATGGATTCCAAAGCATGTGCATGTCATGGGAATAAGGGGATAAAAATGCTCAGTATTTCTCTGAAGGGAAAGGAAAGGAAGGGAAAGCCCTTTCTGTCAGCTGCCCAAAATGCCTATGGCTCTGTGTGTGGGGTGGGGGAGATACACATTCCTCCCTCATGTAATCCGAGTGTGCTCAGCATTCTTGCTTATTCAGTAGGGTGGCATTGCTTTGGCCATGTCTGCACTACCTCTGAGGTGCATTGTACAGTGAAATAGGGGTCCTCAGGGGAATGGGAAAGATAAGGTGGACAAATGAAAAGTGCTTGAAAAGCACTTCTTTGTTGGTTTTGTCCACAAACTGCAAAGATAGGAAGCCAGTTGCAGATAGGTGCCGGCAGGGTAGCTATAGTGAAAAAATTTCAAACAGAAAAGCTCTTGGACTATAATAGCCTCCAACAGAGATCTTTCCAAGCGGGATTGCAGCAGAACCCTCCAAGGATAGCACTGACCTCTGGAAGGAGCTGTAGTTGTGCCTCCTGTGTGGTGGGAGGTACCTAACTTGCCACTCAGGCTGGTGGGAGGAAGAAAAAGTCAAACAGTACTCCTTCCTAATTCTTCTCTCACCTCAGAGAGGGGGTTAAAAATCCCATGATAAATCCTATGGTAATCTTAAATCCCATGGTAAAACCAACCACCAACAGATCTCTACTGACACCAGAACTAACACTAGCAACCTTTACAGCCACCGAATTAATGAAGCAACCAGAGGCAATCTTGGGTAGCAAAACTTTATGATCGTGTTTTCTTCTGCTATATGCAGGTGGGAACCTACAGAAAAAGATTCAGCGATGATGACTCCAAATGCTACTGCCTTTCCTCTGTCTTTGCTCCATCATCTTTCAGAAATGCCAATGGTCTCAGTGCTTGGGGGGGCCCAGGCTGCTGACCCCTCAGGGCAGCTGTCCCAGGGGTCAGCCATATCAGCTTGGTGGCAATTGAAGCAGTAAAATTCCCATAATACTTAAAAAGCCAATTCATTTGGACAGACTGCTCTGTTGACTTGACTGTGTGCAGAGAAATAGAAGGGACTACTCAGAGACTGGCTGTAAATGAGGTTCATTCTTAGTCTGATCACGGTGTGCATTTTTTTGGTGCCATCTTACATTTTAACTGATATGCTTTTCAAACAGAGAATTCTGCCCATTAGTCTATGGCACTCCTCTAATCTTTAGTTAAAAAATATCCTCCTGAGTTTAAAAAGAATAAAACCAATAGAGTTCTACAGCAAAGTAATGTACTTCAATCATAATTATAGAAAGGAACATACAGAATTTATTAGACGGATGAGCTACATTTATTTTTTAACCCACACTATAAAATTCTATTACAAGATTACCACTTTCTATTGTGTTTTGGATGATGGTCCAAAACACTGGCAGAAAGATGATAATTTTCTACTAAATGTTACAAGACTTTTCCAACGAGACATTTCCTTTTTAATAACCTCCACCTGCTTTAGATCACTCAGGAGAGCTAAAACACAGAATATGCAACTGTGCTCAGTAAAGCTACATGACACCGTGCCACATTCTCTCCTCTTGCCCAGCTTTGAGTACATTGCAGTGAATGCTTCATTTTATTGCTACCCTTGCAAGTGACTACAGTAGGAAATCCTTTCTAAAACATAAAGCTCTCATACATTTCATTCTCACATTTGAAAGACATGTCTGATTCTTCAGGTGATTTTTATCTATATCTTAGGGAAAAAAATGAATTATTTGGTTCGCAGCAGAGTTCCTTGAGGAGGAAGCTGTTTGGTTCATCATTTTGAAAATACAGATTTTCTGAGATGCATCAACAAAATTTCTATTGATTGACTTCCCTGACAAATATTGCACAACACTAAGTAATAGATATTAGCTATGGTAAAATAGATTGCAACAGCAAATACAATGGTGGTAAAAGAAGGAAATGGGGATATAGCACTTATAAGTATAGTGCAAGCCGTAGCAAGGAGTTCCTGGATGTGAAGCAGACACCTTGCACCTTCTGAGGGAGGAGAAATGCAGAAAGCCAACTGTTACATTGCAGTGCTGAATTCCATTGATTGTCCCACAGTCACAAAGCAAGAGGCCACATTTCTGTGCCGCAGGTGGCATGCTTTTTTCTGCCATGATCTCTGCAGGGAGAAGAGATTTTGGCAACCTGCAGATCATCTAGATTTCAGGAAAGCACGGATGTGATGCTAGCAGGAATTGACATAGTCATTAGTGTGAAAATAGCATTTTAAAATGTCGAAGAAACCTGCCTTTTTCGTCTGCATTTTTACTATAGGGGCTCTTAGGACAGTGGAAAAGTGACACTAATGACTGGATCTTTCCAAGTTGCATGGAGAAAGCAGACACAACCTGTATGAGAGGTGACAACTTGAATGAAAAGAAGTGCTTGGAGGACAAGTATAAACTCTAATCTCATCCTACATCAGCAAAGGAGCTGTCCAAGAGGCCTTGTTCAATGAAATATTTATAGGTTATTTAAAAACACCTGCTTTTGAACAGCTGGAGGCTTACAGTGGTGGAATGAGGAATATGTCTTCCTTTCTCCAGAACCATTTACCCTGTGGGTAGAGAGAGACAACCAGTGTGCTCCCTGGTAATTAATGACCCTCAGTGGTCAATCCAAACCCCAAAATAAATAAAGATCTTGGAACTGAGAAGTGGACATGGAATACATTCCTCCAGTCTGACTCAGACAGAAAGACTCCAGTGGAATTAAGGCTATCAGTGGGATATGAGCAGTACAGATTAATGGTTTGGTTGATACTGCACAGAGAGAAAAGAAGTCAGGTTAAGATAAAAATAATATATATAGTTTAGTGGTACCTACCTCCACAGTTTGTGCTCTCATCAATGCTGGAGGCTGGCAGGATCACTAAACAAAGAGAAGATTAGAGAAACTTGTCATTTTGTCATCACTTCTTCAAGTAATTAAACCCCCTGTGCTCCAGACACGAAAAGGTGCTCACGTGTTCTGCAGCAAGCTCAGAGTTTCTCTAAATTGAATGGTAAACTCAGAGAGTGAAAAACATGCCAAAGACTTGGCAATTCCAGTACTGTTACCTGATGACTCTTTGGCTTCTGCAATTTAGGGGAAAGAAGATAGCTGAGAAAGCCATGAAAAAGAAGAATATAATTGCCTAGTGATCTCAGATTTTTAAGTCAGGGCACAGCAACCCAGAAAAGAACACATGGAAAGGGGTTATTTATCCTAGACCCATACGAGATATTTGCCCAAGAGATTAAATTTCCACAAAACACAGGGTGGAAGATTTTGATGACCATCTGTCTATCAACAGTATTGCTCTGTAAGACCGTGGATTAATCTTCCCACTTTACACAGCAATTTCCTGCAACTGCCTCTCCTTATTTTTTCGCGCTTCTAGGATGCTTCTTTTCATACCTGAGCTCAAGGACCTTCTGTTGACTATATCCATACTGAGTACAAAGTTAATTTTTATAAGCCAGCCTGAGATGAACTATGCAAGGTTAAAAGCTGCAATTCAGGTGAAGCCATTCTAGTTATTTATTACAGATCTAGGTAATTCTCTTCTAAAGAAATTTTAAGCTGCCTTAAAGGAATGACAATCTGTGCCTGCGACAAGGGAGTTTACAACATGTTTGTGTATTTGCTTGTTTTTCTAGAAGCATTCAAACCCAATTTTTAATAGAGAAAATCTCAGCCTAATTTGACAGTCTCGGGCATGAGTTGCTCTCCTGGATTGGCCCACCCTGTCCCTCCTCTATGACACTGTACATACCAGGAATTTCATTATACAGGCAATCTTGGTACTGTGTGCTGTTTCCGACGCACTGAGAAGAATCTGGGCTGTGTATCTCACAGTAACGGCTGCGGTATTGGATACCCTCTTCATTACACAGGCTCCACTCCGACCATTCTGACCACCCACCTGAAATCCAAGATTGGGAAAACACACAGACAACATCACCAAGAAGGAAAAGGATCTTTTGTTGATACCAGTCTTCTCTCATGATGAAGGATATCTAGCTCTTTGCATGGGTCTCTCTCACACATCTAATCCAGAGGCCTTTGTTGGATTTCATTTTCTCAATACACATAACAGTGCAAGCATCATGTCCTACTTGTCAGGTTGTGGTTTGCTTAATACGTACTGTACTAACCCTTGGTGGAGCACTGCACAGCACACAGTTGTCTTAAAAGCTCGTGTATCAGCTCTCTGGTTAAGACATACAAGGAGCTGGATGGGATGTTGCATGAGGATCTCCAAGTTCTGAGGTGGCCTCCCAGGGATATTGCAAGCAGCCATAACGAATTACAGCATTTAAAAGTTTCGCTGATGTTCCTAAGGGCAGGAGTCAGCTTGCACTGGATCAGAAATATACAAAGGTGGTTCAAAACCAGGACAGATCTAAACCCCATTCTCTGAGATCTAGCACATGCTCATCTGTCTGTCTGTGTAAGAAAAAGGAAAGATTGTTTCTTCAGCAACTGTACAGATTGATGACTCCTTTTGTTTGTCTTGTAAGTGCCCACATTGAAAAACTCCTGCTTTTCCAATTACTTTAAAAGGATCAGCAGCTAAAAAGGTCTTGTCTGGCACCAGAATGCCAGGGAATGGGTTAGTGAACAAGTAAAGAGAAAGGTGATGCACTGCAGCTTAACACAGGGATGTCTCTTTTTCCCAGCTCAATAGACGTTTACTGAATGGACAGAAAAGCTTCTAACTGGTCACGTTTCTGATTTACTTTTTAAATATTTTGCAGTTGTTTCATACTCCCACCACCACCCAAGCCAGCTGGAGAAGGGATGAGAACTGCTACCTTCACATGGGTGTGTGTTGCAAAGGGCCTCCTCGGTGTGCAGACCAATGCAGATATCCTCTCCACTAGACGGAGCTGGATTGGTGCAAGTTCGCGTGCGTTGGTAGTGTCCTCCTCCACAGGTGGCTGAGCAGTGAGACCAAGGAGTCCAACAAGACCATGAGCCTTTCACTGAAGGACAATGAAAAGCAAGGAGAAAGAGGCAGATGCTGCTTACTCCTCTCACAGTGACAAAGCTGGAGAGCCCCAGTATCCCACCTTCCAGATCCACCCTGCCCAGACTAGCTATCAGTTTCTTGCACCCGAGTACAATTGGGCCTGACAACAGGAACTTTGTATTGAGAGAGGATACAAATGTGCTGCACTCTGAAGATGTAAAATGAAGTCTATTCACAAAAAGACTCTGCATCATACAGTGCTGAAATAGAAACTATTCTTTAGGGTAGTCACTGAAATATTCTGTTCTACACCTTTTTATAAAACAGCACTGTTATCACTATATTTTCTTTTGATGCTTCATCTACAGAAACAGCAAATCTACTTGGGGAAAAAAGTGCTGTACAACCCAAGTGGAGCTTGTATGGCACTTTTCTGTGGGGGCCCTGAGTCCTTCAAGTTCCAACCTGCAGGAAACAGAAACTGAGACACTTTATTTATTGTCCCTGCTCAGATGGGGTTGAACTAGATGACCTTTAAAGGTCCCTTCCAACCCAAACCATTTCATGATTCTATGATCTCAGCACAACCCCATAACAGGTTAATAATAAAACTAGAGAGGGACTTAGGATCCCTGATTCTCACCCTGCTCCTTGTCAGGCTACTAGACTGCTTAATTCGCAGGTCCACATGCCATTAATTCAGAAGATAATAATCTGATGACTTGGTGCAAGATAAACCCAGTACTTATTTATACACATTGAGTGAGGCAGGGAAGAAGGGAGACACAGAGAAATAGTAATCATGCACTCAGAACAGATTGTAAAACATCATAGTGTCCAAGGGGAGAAAACAGCACAGAAGGCACAGACATTAGTGAAGATCCACTGAGAGCTTCCAGAATAGTACTAATAGATGCCTTTATAGTGCTACAGTTATTTTCTTTTTATAGGCCATAGAGTGCAATATTTGACATTCCTACTATGCTCTTGCTGCACATTCTGGTAGTATCTGCATTGGAATTTTATCATTGTATTGAATTTTAGAATCATAATACTATTATTATAATATAGCATTTTCAAGTGTAGGCCACAAACTATATTGCCAGAGGTAGATAATTACTAGAACTGCAAAGAGGCAAGGCAATTCATGCAAGATCACTTAAATTTAGTTTAGATAGCTATTACAAAGCAAGGATAAGGATAAGTGAGGAAGAATACAGTAGTCAATGGTCTATTATTACTATTCTGGACCAGAAGTGCAACATAAACATGAGGACAAACTTGAAAACCAGGAAACCAGGCAAGAATACTCCCTGCTGGCTGTGCAGGAAATGGTAACTGATGTCAAGAGTAGATGCCCATCGCAAGAACAATACGTAAGCAGGAGAGGGGGAAGAAACAAGTGTTCACAAGAAGAACCGCCACATCAAGCATCTCTACACAGTATTAAGCCACATTTATCAAGTCTGCCTCCTCATCAAGTAGCAGATGCACTGTGATGCCCCCCGCTGGATGGAGCATCAAACCTTCTTGAAGAAAAACATTGCTAGACAAGCCACAATACTATTTACACTAGAGGCTGTGGCTGTGCTACCCTCTGAGCTGTGGTGAGGCATCAGTCTGCACTAAAGATCACATACATGGGTCATTACAATAGCTTCAAAAAATTAAGAAAAAATCCCCCAAATTTAAAAAAAAAAAAAAAAAGGAAAACAAAATAAAAAAAAAGCAGCTTGGAAATACTAGTTTTGTTGTTTGCTTTTGTTTTTGTTTTTTTGTGGCTGTACCATTTAGATGGTGAAGAACACCTCTGAATTTCATGCAGGAAGATGATCATGGTTACCTGGGCAGGGATGTGGATTGCAGTCTTGGTATTCCATCGCTGACCCCACACAGGGCAAGCCACCATTTTTAGGTTCAGGGTTTGTGCATGTTCTCTTCCTGATCCTAAAGCCCAGCTCACAGTCCCTGGAACAGGAAGACCAGGCTCCCCAAAAGGACCAGCCCCCATTGATAATCCGTGCAGAAGTCTTACCAGTCTTGAGGAGATCATCAACAAGAGCTTCAAGGAAAACAAACAAGACACTATGAGATCACAAACTGGTCAGTTGTTGGGCTTTTAAAAAGGTTTTCAGCTCATGAATAAAACCAGGATTTATGTGCCCTTAGGGAAGAATTTCTGCTGAAAGCCTTTAGGGGAAGTTTTGTTCCACAGGATTACAGCTAAGCTAGACACAGAACCAAATTTGTACACAGAGAACCTACTGATAACGCTGATAAATGACCTTTCTGGGCAGCAAATTGTGGCAGTCAGAGCTGTATCCTCAGGACACTGCCTTGCATCACAGCAGTACTGAAGGGAATAATCCCAGAGGCAGTGCACAAGGGGACCTCCAGAGAGACACACAGAATGGCTCTTCTCTTCTCTAGACCCTGATTATTTGCCTGTTGTCTTTGGGGCAGCCTGGCAGTAGCAAAAGCAAACCTATACACTGTCATAGGCACAGAGGCTACAATGGTATTGATCTCTAAGCCACAGGGTTCTCTCTCCATCCCTGCCATTCTGCAGTAACACTAGTTGCACATGTTGGGATTTATGTAGTCACAATCAGGTTCTTATTGTTCTAAGAGGACTCGCATTCCACCACCATCTCAGCTTGCTCTACAGTCCCCCAGAGCTGGCAAGACGTACAGTCAGTATCACACACGGCTGAGCCATCATTGGGGCAGAATCGACTCTCGGTTTTCTTTCTCCCAAACTGCAGCTCATGGGGATCAGACAGCTGGGCACGACACGTGTAGCGGAAGCGCTGCTCCTGGCGGGCACCATTCTGGGTGATGTTGACAGGCATCCAAGGGGTCCAGGGTGTGTTCCTGCGCACCTCCGGGCAGCTCTCTGGGTTGCACGTCTTATATTCCTGCCAAGAAGGAAAACCATTCTCTCTTATTAAACAGCAGCAGCCTAACTGACAGATTTATTTACATTCCAGAAAATAAGGGGATACCCTCTTGATCTACAACAACCTCCATCCACCTTATCTGACCTCGCAGACACAAGCCAGTGCTGGGCACACCACACAGGCTGGATGTGGTTCTGGGCAACCTGACCTAGATGGAGATGTTCCTGCTCATTGCAGAGGGGGTGGATTACATGACCTTTGAAGGTCCCTTCCAACCCGTACTATTCTATGATTCTATGACTACAGATGCAGTGGTGGTGACCACGTATAGCTTCAGGTGACCCTTGAGGGTGAACTACGTTTGCTACTTTTATCTCTCCCTCAGATTTATGTTTCTTTGCTGACTCAGAGTCCTATGGGGCTTTGAAAGCTTGGTACACTACAGGCAGGAAGATAATTCAGGCAATAGATAATAACAACAGCAAACAAGTTTTATGTTGTGATACTAAGACGCTGCTCTCAGGTCAGCCTAGAGAAGCCCTACGAGGACAAAATGTCAGTAAGGTTTATTTCCTTTAAAAGTTTATTGGTTTATTTTTAAGATGCGTTTAGATTATCTTTTTTTACAGCTAGTTTTGTTTGGTTGGCTTTCTGAACTGTCCAGGAGGGCTATGAACCATATGCTGTCCTTGGTGTAGAGCATCCCTTGAGTACAGACAACATTCTGGCTGGATGGGGATGGGATGATTTGGGGGTCTTTACAATTCTTGCCACTAGTGGGAGGAATTCCAGTGACAAACATTACATTCTTGTTTAAAAACAAATAAATAAACCAGTCTTTTCTGGCAGAGGAAAATAAATGTAATGCTTCAGGACTTCATGATTCTAGAGTATTATGCCAAACAGCTTGTGAACAGATGGGAGGTTCCAGATCAAACCTGCTTACACTGAAGAAAACTCTCCACAAAACTAATTAGAACAGCTGCATGAAACAGCTGCCAGAATAGGAAAGGGAAAATAAAGAGAGAAAATGGGTAGCCATTACCTCACTGATGGGTGAATTAGGTGTTTGACCTGTTGTTTACTCAAGTATGACAGTGAGACTTATTTCTGATGCATGTAAGGCCTCCTTGACTCAATAGGATCATCCTTTGATGTAGGACAGAAGGAAGAAAATGTACAGTGCTTTCCAGTAAAGGACTTGATATCTAAGCCTACAGAGATCTAAGGAAATCCTCTGTCCCTACCTATCCATCCCTTCCTGTACACACACACACACATACAGACACACTCTCACACCAACTTTACTGACTTGGTGACACCTCTCTGCTTCCCAGTTCATTTCAGCATCCTTTTCAGCAAAAGCTGAGGATAGCATTTTCTTCTAGACTGAGAAATAAAATGAAGATGGAGAGAGGAGTAAAATGTCAAGTTCCTAGGTGCTAGATGTCAACAGGTGTCCCTTGTGCAATGTCAATAAACAATACATACCACAGCACAGCCTGGACATGTATTTCCATTTTCACAGGACCTCTGCCTCGAATGAATCCCTCCACCACAATTCACACTACATTTAGTCCAAGGACCCCATGAAGACCAAAAAATCGGCAGTGGACACGGATTGTTCTCATTACAGAATCTGAAAGAAGAGAGAGCATTGATCAAAAAAATATCCAGGTCAGCACATCCAAGGGACAAAATCATGATGGATCAAGACTGCACACTGCATTTGGATGCGATTCATGCATACACAGAAAGCCAGCAGAAGGCTGACACAGCCATCAGATTAGTAATATTTCTGTTCACAGCAGAGAACGGTACCCTTTGTACAGAACAGGGAGTAGTTAAGCAGGCTGAAATCAGTGAGACCATTGAGGTGAATCATCCAGATTGGGTTTTTGAAAGTGCTCTAATCTCCAAACTTTTATGCATTGAATTCACAGAAGAGCTCATAAACTGGAGCCCATGTGTCACATAGAGTAGATGGTAAATATTTTCAATGGGATTACTAGTGGAAGGTCAAATCAACAGTGATTTGTCAGCAATGGCAGGTGCTAAACATTTACAATCTTCTCTTCACACGATCTGGCCCCTGCTGTTGACTGGACCCTAAGAAGCCAATGCTTGCAGCTGGAGCTGAACTAGATACTATCTGCATCTAAATGCAGGCCTTAAATTAATGCTGTTTCATGTTACCTTTTCAAAGGGTAACTTCAATTTTGTTCAGTTTTTTAATAAATATTGCTCTCAAATTGAATGACACAGGACTGCAACTGACTCAGATGTAGTCTTTGAAACCCAAAAAGGAGCATTGTGAATGGCCACAAATCAAACCAAACATTAAAATGTCCTGAATCAAGGAAGTTAAATGAATTGCCCTTTGTATTCTGAGAGGTGCAGAGATATCTATCTTAAGTGACCACTCAACAGACAAGCAACAGCCAACTGCCAAGCAGAGGTGGCCTTTAATGAAATGTCAAATCTGGAAACCAAATTAGGATGCCTTGAAAGCTGTGTTTAACATAGGGCTGGGCTTGAAGAAGTGTAACAGTGCAGATGGCTCTGAGGTTCAAAAAGTATTGCCTTTTAGCAATTTTACATGAAATTGCTTAGTTTAAAGGGAGCGGAGGGAAAGATGTTTTTCTAATGTCAAGCCCTGCAGTCCTGAATCTTTGAGTTAAGCTATATTTTGTCTTTGAACTTCTTTTGGAGCATCAGCACAATTATTATGGTGCATGGAATCGTGCAATTGGCAATGAAAACTGCACATATTCAACTGCCCCCTCAGGGATGGATCAGAACAGTGTAAGTGTAAACTCTGCACTGCTAACAGTAGACACAGCTTCTCGTTTTGTTGAGGAGGTCAGCCATCTGTTTTGGGGACAGAAATACTTGTGAAAGCCTGAAAGATCCTCCCTGAGAGTGGAGGCAGCTCTGAAACCTTTGGTGTTCACAGGCTCATTGAAAGAGAGTAGCCATGCATGTGAGCAGCCTCATCCTTCCTAGGCTCTGGAATTACTTCCAGTTTGTGCATTCAGCCAGACAGCCTTTATCTGCATTCACACAGGAGCCATCACTTCCAGCTGCCAACATTATAACCATAGAAGTGAACACATGGTGTTGTGGACATCTCTTACCTTTCTTCCCTACTCTGTCCAACACAGACCCTGCCGCCGTACCGTGGAGCAGGGTTGCTGCAGGATCGCTGGCGGACCTGGAAGCCTATCCCACAGGAGGTGCTGCATGGGGCCCAGGAAGACCAGGGTGTCCAAGCTCCATTTCTAACAAAGAGAGCAAGAGAAAGCAGAGCATGGGGGTGACCTAATGGTCTGCTCACATTATGCTGTGCTTAACAACAAAACACATAAGGCACTGGTGGGGAACCATTGAAGAAGAGATTATTCATTTCAACCAGACCTTATGTCAGTGAAGATTTAGAAAAGAGAGTTTCAAAAGTGCTCAGCATTGGCCTAACTTTCCTCCTATTCAAGTCTCTAATAATTGGAAAGGAAAAGAATGAAGCCAGTGCTGAATGATTCTGAAAATGCCTCATAGCATTTGCTAAGCAAGAGTGTGGTTGTTATAACTCTCACTGACTATTCCCCCATCATGTCTCCCAAGTCTCATAATCCCACTTTTGAGAGCTAATGGCTCATCCCAAAGTTGTGTCTCCTGATACAGCCTGCACTCTTCTGCACAAAGAGCGCAGGTTTTGAGGCTCACAAATGCCTGTTGTGCCAAAGGATGTAAAAAACCAACTCTCTGCTAATTCAGTAGGTACTGATGCTTTAAATCTCTTAGAATCATAGAATCAACTAGGTTGGAAAAGACCTTTAAGATCATCAAGTCCAGCCATTACCCACAGGAATGCCAAGACCACCACTAAAACATGCCACTGAGGGCCTCATCTTCACAGTTTGTGAACTCTTCTAGCCTCACCTACATGGTTTTTGAACGCTTACAGCAATACTACTGCCAGCTCCTGTGATTTCATCACAAACCTCATATTTGTTATTTTCCTAAAGCCTTCAGCATTGAATCCTGTTAAGTGGAAATCCCAAATTTCATTAAAAAATAACAATAATTGCTTCTAGCTTTCATGGCCGCCTGCAGACGTCACTGTAGTGTGACCTTAAATCTGTAGAAATCAGAGGCAATTAAGAGCTCAGAGGCAGGATCAAGTTTCATGGTTTAATGAGTGATCACATCTCTGATGAGCACTGCTAAGTTAGCCTGAAGCAAATGTGATGTAAAGCTCCTTAGTTCACACCTCAGCAGAGATGTTGGCAAATGCTCTGTGTCTTGCTCCTGTGACAGGCTGAGCATGTGCAGGCAGCTGGCTCCTGCGACGCTGCTGCCGTGCGGTGACTCAACGGCGTGCTTACACAGAACCCAACATTTACATCTTTAAAACTCTGCGCTTATTAAAGCTCACCTTCCTTTGACTTGGCAGCACTACTGAACGTTGGAGCAGGAGAGGAGAATCTGTATCTCATCTCTTCTGTGCTGCAGGTTTCATTTCATATGGAGCCAGTGGCAATGCTCTGTCTTACAGAACTGCCTAATCTTCACACTTTACTGCCTTAAGCCAAAAAAATCTCATTTGTTTTTTTGTTTAATAAAGAAAAACCTTTCCAAAAAAGTCTAGTCAGAAAAACAACTCAGGTGCTCTCTGGTTCTTGAAAGCTAGGCTTGAAAACAGATGTTAATTTTCAAAGCATTTACTGAACTAAATTAATAACACTGTTGGCAAGAAATATTTTCTGGCATGGCACCAATCAGGGCAGAGGATGAAAGTTAAAACCCACATTGCCCTTCACACTTTTTCTATTTGTTATCAGCTTTTGCCTGTTCTTGCCAGGTTTATTTCAGAACTCTCTTAGACGTTTCTTCCCTCCTCTTCTTGTTCTTGCATCCTTCTCTCTCCCTCCCTCCCTTCCCCTTTCCGGCCCCAAACAAGGTCAAAGCACAATAAACTCACTTACATAAAAATCCTATTATTCTATCTTATTTTGCCACGTTTTAACCCACCTACTACCTCCTCACTTTTTAACCCAAAAGAAAGTTTATATGTAAAATCATTTAAAAAAAAAATCAAATGGAAGGTTGACGTTATTCCAGGAAAAAAAAAAAGAAAAAGAAAAAAGGGGGGGGGGAAGTAATTTTTACTCCTAAAAAAAAATATCCAACCATTCTCACAATCTGTTTGTTTTTTTCAGGATTTTTAACAGGAATAAAGACACCTTCCATTTCCAGATCTCCACCATTCTAATAGAACTTATCTTTAAACATCCTGCTCCCTCTTTGCAAAAAGAAATTGCAATGCCATATGAAGTCAATTAAAGGAAATTTGAAGACTGAGGCGGATGTAGGATGACCAGATGTCCCTATTTTTCAAACTGTGCTGTTTTCCTACGTCTTAAGATTGAATAATCTATTTTTCATCCCCTTCTTAGAAGCCTGTCTCTTTCGCCATCAGAGCAGTGCTGAGAACACCACTGGCATGCTTTCTGTTTGCCACTGACATAAAAAGTCTGCCTGGGGAAGTCTTTGCTCAGCCCATGGTGGCAGCAGGCAGCACAGAGGCAGGAATGACTATATGCCTTTTGGGCGGCACAGCCCACAACTAGAAGAGATGCCAATTAAAACATGAGTATTGCTGAATTTCTCGTGCCAAGACCAGCACTGATCTCCAGGGATAAGTTAAAAGACAGCTGTCCTTAATGGAATTAATGTTTATGGAGAAGATGGAGTAGATAAAAACTAAATTGACCCAATATTTACCAAAATATTCGCTGGCACCACCCTGGTGAAGTAGTGCTTACACTATTGCATCGTCTTTCTTTTAGTCGTGACATGATGTAGTCCGAGGGTGGAGGGGTAGTATGGACACAAACACTGTGGCTATGTTTGGGCACCTAACTGGAGGATATTTAGCTCCCATACTGCTCAATCTTAAACTTCAAGCTTCCCTGGAAAGGCAGCACTTCAACACAAGCTGAGCGACATGTGTTGGCTAAGTCCTGCCCCCGGCAGGCATGCCTCCTAAGCACTGCTCACTGCCAGATGATGATTTGTTGCTTTCACCTAGCCAGCATGCTGCAGACAGTTCACAGACTCACATGGCAAACAAGCCCTGCTCAGAGCAAGGCTAGGCCCTGTCTTTACAAGCATTACTCTGAAGGAGCTCTGCTCGCTTTTGGCAACGCAATCTCAGAATCCAAACTCCAAAAGACTGTGAGCTTCTTGGATTTTATTTTTAGCTTACTGCTGTTCTGATGGCTAACAATTATTTCTGCCTTACCTCCTCCTGATGAGTCACTACTCACTATATGGTTGAGGGAAACCAAGGCACAGGGTAGGGAAGGTTAATGTGTACACTAATTTGTGGTGCTCATCTTCTCAGAGCCCTTCATTTTTCACTGACTTCAGGCTGGACCTCACATACGGGATGGGATGGGATGCAACAACAGGGGTACAGAAACACAAGGAAGGAGCTAAGCTGTGGACAGGCACAACAGCTCTTGTTCCTTTCCTAAAAATCACAAAGATGCTGAGGTACCTTGAGCAATTTGCCACCTCAATCCTGGCCCCTTCACAACTGCGACCTCCACAACGTGGACGAGGGCTGTCACATGAACGTGACCTACACATGCAGGAGCCTGTGCTGTCCCCATCTGAATGCTCACACAGTTGCCATGGGGACCAGGGCCCCAATCTTCCATTTGTTGTCAGGTTTTTCACCTAATTTTAAAAGAAGAAAGGCCATTAGTAGCAGGTTTACATTTCTGGAGACAGCCCCACAATAGGAAAGCCAAACAAAGCTGCTGGGGGGATTAGGATGCAGCTTAGATGGGAGCTGCCTGTGCTTGTGAGCAGGATTCAAAACAGAGGGTTGTTTTCAGGCAGCGCCGCATCAATATTTACCCTCCAAATTCCACCCCGCATACCTAACATGTGTGCACAGGCACCCGAGCCGGCCCCGCCAGAACCACACCAGGAGCAAGCATCCATCTGCCATGCCACAAAACCACCACACTCCCTTGATGCACACTGCACAGCTTCAGCCTTTCAAGCAACACAACAGCCGATGCTGACTGTCCCCACTTCATTATGCTCCTGCTTCTGCAGTGCTTGGGACTGCTCCTGCAGGATATTTTCTGAGTTAGTGTTTGGATAACCATAGTGACCAGCTCAGACTGGGGCCTCACTGTGTTTGGCCCTGTTCAAACACACAGTAAGAACTGGCTCCCTTTCTAATCTGTAGGCTAAATGGCTAAACTGGGTGAAGGACAGGAAGTGAAGGAGATGGTGGTGACTAGAATTAATACTGAGGATCACACAGTGGGCTTAAGAGTAAGAATTCATCTCAAAGCAATTTGCAGACCGACCACAGTGCTATCTGTTTCCTCTGCCCTTTGCTTCATGTCTATACAGCCCTGAACAGGCTAGGTCTTGAGCTTTCCATGCACCGTAATGTAGTACAAAATACGGTAGTCCTGGCAAACAAAAAGCATGAGAAACAGATGTATTTCAGACCAGGACTGAAGAACTTTCAGAAGATAAGGTGTCAGAGCTTGCTTCACTGTGCCTTGGTTTAACCAGTGCTTCTAGCTGAGCCCTAAGCTGAGGACTGGTGGAGAAAACTTGCCACCTAAGTTAACTTGAGAAGATGAGTGCTTCCTGCTCTTCCCAGGAATGTTCCCAGGCCACTCTGCCTTATTGTGCCTACTCCACCACTACTGCAAATTCCAACAACTCTAGGCCCATGTTTGGAAAGCTACCCTGAACACCCCTGCCCTGGCTTCCCAAAGCGCAGTGCCTCGTAGGCAGGGCGGCACTGATGGTGGCTTCCTGAAAGTAGCTCATCCCCACTGGTGTCACCCATTGGGTGCTGGGATGCTCAGCAGCTTTGGTAAAAACACTGGCAAAAGCAAGGCTGGACTTAGCCTCAGTGTCGCACGCAATGAAGGGTGACAAAAGGAAGAGGCTGGGAGCCTGGGAGAACATCCCTGGCCTCAAATCTGAGCCAGCTACCACTGACAAACCCCACTGTGCCATGCTTCACTAAGCTCTGCAGTCAGCAGGATCAGCCCTCTGGGCTGCCTCAGGGGGGAATTATTTTCTCCTGCTTTACAAGACAAGGAAACGGAGGCATGGAGAGGCTGCAAGCCTGTTCCAGCACCACGCAGGGAGCCAACCACAGCCATGGGAGTAGTGCTTTCCAACATTCATCCTCTGAAACACGCTGCTTTACGCTTATTCTTCAAGTCTGGCACTATGTTAAACACAATGCACCTCTGGTGGGCTGTCATCTTCTCCTCTCACCCATCTACTGCAGCATCAAAAATGTGCAGCAGTGGCATGGAAGTCATTTAGATCAGTTACTGCACTCATCAGGCTGCAGTCAGGGGGTTTCAAGCATCTGTTGTAAAATTTTGTTTGCAATAGATTATCATATCATTGTAAAAATTTGCTCTGGGCTGCAGGTTACAAGGCAAGATGCCCAGACAAGAGAACACTGGGATTTGTTATTGTTGTTCAATTTGTTGTTTTAAACATGCATGCAGTCAAAAATCAGTACAGTTGGATTGCTAAAAGTCAGGAGGGGATCAAAAGAACTATACTTTGAGGTACTTAATACTAGATTTTTATCTTCTTTTTCCTCCTGCCTTACAAAAGTCATAGTCCAAGTATTGGATCATTTCTATTTAATTTTTGAACCAGAAAGCCTCTCTGATTCCAGCAGGGAGTTCTGTTCCGAAATCAATGGTATGATATGGCCTGTGGCTTCAATTAAACAAAAAAGAAGGCTGACAAATAATTATTGGCTCATAAGTGATACTGGGAAGCAGCCCAAAAGTTAAACAAATAAGCAGCCATAACCAAAATGCTGAGATTTATAAACATGCCACGTAGTGAGTGTGGGAAGTTTTTATACTTACGAAATTACATATGGATTATTATTCCATCATTAAACTTGTAAAAATACCTTCAAAAGAGCAAACTTGGGAAGTGGGATAAAACCCCATATGCATTGGTCTTTTTCAGGAATATCTTTACAAGGCAAATCCTTTGTAGCCAGCACAGTGCCCATCAGACAAGAGGACATCTTTAAAAACACGTGTGATCAAATATCCTTATCTTACCTGACAATAATACAAATTCCAAAATTCCTGTGCTTTATAAAGTGCCATACTCCCACCAAAGGCATCACTTTTTCATTTCTTCCTAACACCATCTCAAGGTTTAAGTGCAGGATCTAAAAATTCAGACTGACCATTCCTAAACCCCACTACCAGGATATTTTCAATGTTTATTTTCATATTACAGATAAGACTAGAAGCGTTCCTTGTTCTTTTCATTCCTCTATGCTTCCTCTGAGGATTCAGATGTCAACTGCTTATAACTTTGCCAAGCTTTAATTATTTCGGCTGGAAGTTTCCATGTTGGCTGTTCAATAGAAGCTGACAATTCTTGCAAAGCTTCTGTCAAAATATTTCAATCATTTTAAAAATCAAATCTAGGGGAAAAGAATGTCCGTACCTAGCAATCTTTTCCTTGAAACAAGCTAGTTTTCAGAGCAAATAACTGAACTTTACATCCTTGTAACACCTTTTTGCAATGCCCATAAAAAGCCAGGGGGAAGGAAAATACTCAGTTTTCAGAGACTCACAGATTTTGATCCTAGCACATCTTCTCTGTGCACTGGACACGCTTCACTGTGGGCCAGAGCAGGATTATCCTGGGCACTGCAGCTCTGAGTAGCTGAGCCCACATGAACTGAGAGCAGGGTACAAGTCTGTTATACACCCACAAAAAAGGAGTGGGGAAACTGGCACCGATTAGCAAAAAATGGGGTAGCATAAAGCAGACATCAGATGACTGAGATAGGGGTTTGCCGGACAGAGTGGGACTGGGAGGAAAACCTGTGAGGAAGAACATCATTTGGCTCAGGATAAGAACGACTGTACATTTCTTTGGGAATACTCAGTTCCTGACTTGCCAACCACCATCAACAGTGAGCCCATGAGCTTGGCTAATGGAGTTTGTTAGCCAAATCTGAAGTTCTTCTCCTGCTGGTGGCTCATGTTGGCACCAGTAAGATGTTACCAAGTAGAATGTGGCTTTTTTCAGTTTTCCTAACACCAAAAAGCACCTTACTCCTTTTCTCAAGCCTAAGAAGAAACAACATGCAATCATGTATTCAGGACTCCCTGATACGACACGTCACACTCAGGGAAAAGAAGAGTGGCATGTGCAATTTGTGTCCTATCATTTCTTAACGTTGAAATGCTTGACATTGCAACTTACTTTAGCAATGAACCTTTGGGAGGTCCTGGGTGTTACATGGTAATAAAACAGATTAACCACTGCCTAAGGTATTATGTTAACACTATACGATTAACCCTCTATCTAAGGTCCCTTAATATTAAGGCTGGAAAGTGGGAATCTGTGGTACAATGTAGTGCTGTACAAAGATGTTCAGACTAGCTCTGAACAAGCATGTTTTCACAAGAGCAGCAGTCAAGTTGTGTTAGTGTTGTGGCTGACTCCCAGAAATGCCTGGCCCCTGTAGGGTATAATTCAATAATATGCCAGTTCTGCCTTTAAAAGTTGCTGCATGCCAGTTTCTCAGCTCTGCCAGGACATCTGTTTGTGGGCTAGGCTGCAGAAGACTCACTCACATTATCTGGGTTAGGAAAAGTTTATTTGGGAGGGGTACTTTTAAACTACAACATGTCTGTGATCTCACACGCAGCTGCACCAGCACAGCTGAGTGCCTGGTGCTCAGCCCAAGAAAGTGGGAAGAGAAAAGCCAGGACTTCCTAAGACAGTAATTCATCCAATTAAACTTCCAGAAGGTCTTTTTCAGGAGGGAAATTTGGCACTGGATTATTGGATCCCCCTACCTTTTCAGTGGTCATTTGTACATGCTAGACTCTTGCCTCTGTTGGCCACAACCTGTATTCTGAACACAAGGAAATACTTGGATATTTCTGATGTAGGTGCTTAAATGAGTGGTCCCACTTCATGCCAGTGGTGAATTCATTCCAGTGAGGGACAGAGGATAAAGAAAAAGAAAGCACTTGCATGTGGATTTTAAAGAGCTTGGCAGCATGTCAGCTTGAAGAGCATAAGGCTGGTGTATGCATCATAATGAAAGCATCTACCCAGAAAATAACCTACAACGGAAATGCAAAAACAAATGTAAAACTAGCACCCAAGAACAGCCAAAGCTCCTGAATATTCTGCACTGGATTTTTATGACCTTGAAACAATGATCTGGAGTAGCCTGCTCCCTAGCACGCACCACAGCAGACATGCTCAAACTAGAGGATTAACACTTCACACACCTATCAACAGACACAAGCATTAAGCAGGATGAGATAACAGCATGAGCAGTCAAGAAGCACTGCATCCCAGTTCAACACAGGAGGGTTATAAACACACAAGCCTCTGAATCCAGCAGTGAAAAACTTAAGCCTGTCAAGCTGAGGATGGATTGAAGTAATGACTAATATTTCCTGGGAAAATATCTGAGAAGTAAGGAAGATAAGGGGAATAAACATCCCAGAACCTCCAGACAGAAATAGCATACTGAAGATACAACCTATCCAGCCTTCTTTCTTTATCTACCAGACTTAGCAGTATTAACATGATAACTGATGTTAGATAATAACAATGGACATTAATGAGAATTTCTCTGTATTCCCCCCTCCTTTATTAACGTGACTGGTTTTCCTCCCCAGCCACCTTGCAGGTACCGTTCAAAGAGCAGGAATTAAATATGGCCAGACAGTTTCTGGGGACCACAGCCAGTAACTGCATGTTGTTATGAGAGAATAGTAAGTGGGTTGGAAGGGAACTGGAGAGCCAACTCAAACTGATATAAGCAGAGACACTTCATTTTTTTCCTTCTTTGGGTTTTTAATTGTTCGTTTGTTTGTTTGTTTGTTTAATCTGCTGCATCTTACAGAGATCAGGGCAAGGAAAGAAGAGCACCTCCGCGCAACATCACATAGATGTGGCCTTTGATGTCCTAAAGAGAGGTTAGAACCCAACTCATACTCCCTCTCTTGGTTACACTCTCCCCTTCCCTTGTGTTCTCAGGTACATACACTGTTATCTTTTTGTTCCCTCTGCAAACCATCTATGCATGTCCTATTTCTCTGCTGCTGCCTAGATGCCTCTTCCTGCTATTGCAACACTTCCTCACCAGTGTTGTCCCCTGAGGCCAGCTCAAGGAAATTAACTGAATGCAGACCAAGCAGGCTTTAGTCAGCTACCCTGATTTTCCTGACCTGCAGGGAAGACAAGGAAATGGTGCAGACAGTGGAGCAGCCCTGAGAAAAATCAAGTTTCACCTGGGGCTTACATGGGTCTCAGTAATACCCAACAACATGATGCAATCTTCTTCACTCAAGGCGTGGTGGGCATGAGGAGGACTGAATGCTTGCTTTGGATCCCTCTTTTAGAGCAAATAAATACATTTGGGGTTTCTGTGTTCTAAACAGGTACCAGTGCACAGATATCAGTGTGCGTCACTGGGCCCTCCATGCTCTCCTAACACCCAGTCCTCATCAGGCTGCACACACTCACTTTCCTTCTCACTTCTACACATAAACACATACACTAACACACCAGCATATATATTTTCACTCCTTCCACTTACTGGGCACTCAGTAATATTTTGAGTCCACAGGCTCATGTTGGAGCTGTCCTCAATTGTGGTGCATCTCTTCTGCTTGTTATCCCAGCCACAATAGGGGTCTCTGGCTCCTAGGCATTCCCTGCATGTGCAAAGAGAAAAGATTAAAGCTCTTTAAGATTGTCTAGCTTTAAAGACACGTATTCAAGTATAGTGCTTGTATATGACAGCTGTCAACTGCACCAAGGCTCAGCAGAAGAAACAATTTCTTCTAAGCGGAGGTTTACCTGCTTGGAAGGGGAGAAGAGCTGAATAGAAGGGTGATAGGATACAAAGCAAATATCACTCATAGAAGCTGTAGATTAAAAATCACTTCACTCCTCTCCAAGGCCTAGGGAAAGAAAATGACTACAAATTTCAGTCAAAGAACACTTGTCATTGAGATATCTTTGTGCCACCATGTAATCACTCAGCAAGCCAAAACTCACACAAAGCAACCTCTGTGAGTATGTTTTCTGACACTGTGTCCATCCAAAGGGGTTAGACAAGCAGAATTAGCCAATGGACCAGCAATAAAGGCTTTCTATTAGTCTTCGCCTTTGCTGGAACAATGGTTTCATTTATAATCCCAACATCAAGATGTCAGTTTGGAAAAGTCACAGAAGAACATTATTTCTAAGCTTTTGGCTGCCTTGAACACTACAGTATTCATTTTCCTCCTGAATCCATATTTACAGGCTAAGTGTGTGTTCCCAACATGTGAGCTGTTAAAGAAAAATAACCAGGGTTATTACTGTTGCTAAACAGAGAAGGTCAGTCACAGAATTAGTTTGTACTGGTAAAATTCAGCTGTATTGGTAGTTCCCATCAGTTGCTTTCAAATAGTCAATTTTCATTAAAAACCATAACAGTACAAGCCGCATCATGTGAGTATTAGTGAAAACTGAAAAAGAGAGGACTAAACCTAAAAATACTGGCAACACTATTTTTCATTCCAATGACCTATTCTCTTCTATCACACAAAATGCTGATGGGATCCTTCCAGAAGTCCCAAATTATTTGAAAACTGTCTATTAGACAGCAGCAAGGGACCAAGGGAAAAACTCAGTTCAAGAAGCTAAACAGGAGAGTAACAAAATTTATTCTAAGGGTAAGAATCAGTATGATAAATAAAACATCAAAAAAAAAAAAAAAAAGCAAAATGCAATGAGACGTGAACTGTTCCCTCCCAGAAATCTTTGAAATCCTATTAGCCCGTAATCAGCTGCAAATGAAAAAGCAAGTCCCTTAAGCACAGCTGAAAGTACTCTATCATCTGTTCTGACTCCACAGTGATTTGTCCCAAAGAAAACCCTAAACTGTTTTGCTGTCTGGTACCAGTTGCTTTACACACACACACACACACACACACACACATATATATAGACACACACATACATGTAAATATATTTATATTATTAGTTTCCAGTTTGCTCCTGCATGGCAGCTCCTACATTTCCTCTACCAAAGATTTCACACACAGAGTTGTAAGGAACATAACTTTCTCTTTCATGCTTTAGGAAATGACTGTCTCTATCACATTTTTCCTTCAGCTGCTTTAGCGTACCCAAAGAAAAGGCAAAGATGATTTTGTCCTAGCCCCAGGCAACAGAACATCAAATATTTGTCTAGAAAAGACTTGGGATCCTCAGTCTAAGTACACAGAAGGGACACATACTGTTTTGCTCATTATTCTGGTTAAGGACCCCTGTCCTGCTGTTTTGGCAACCCACACTACCCTCACCCACGAAGTGGGGCTGCAGCCGCATGCAGAGCTGCCTTTGACATCCAACAGCCCCTCAACAAGGGCAGCACCCAGTTAATTGTGAAGCAGGTCATCTATCCACCCTCTTGGCTGCTCAGCACTTCAGTAGGATACTGGGTAGTTCCTAGAGAGAATAACAGAATCGTAGAATCGTTTAGGTTGGAAAAGACCATTAAGATCATTGAGTCCAACTGTTAACCTAGCACTGCCAATATAAAAGAAGCAACAGGGGGTGGGGAAGAAAAAGCTAACGTCCCTGCTTTTAGTTAGAGTGCCTTTTGGTCAGGCTTTCAGACCCTGACATCATGTACATGCTATTGTTTCCAACTGCATGAAGCCATTTCGCTGGGCACCCAGCGAGCTGAGAGAGGTCATTGTAATTCATAACAGGGAAGGCTGTTGTGAGCATCACCCTATTATGATACACATTTTCTCTGAATTTAATTTATAGGAAAACATGTGCTGCATAAATTCAGGAAATAATCTCCATATGTTCTGTGCTGCAGCCCTCAGCCACTCCACAGGCTGCAATATATCCCAGTTAGTCACTGACCACTTTGCTGGCACTATCATAATGTATGTCATATAGCTAATGCACTGCTCTTGGCTGACAGCGGCAAGCTACAGATCCCTAACAGTCCACTCAATGAATCACACACAGCCTGAGGTCCCCTGCTGCCACCACTGACCCCCAGCTGATGGGCCATCAGTAACTGAGCTGCAGAGCTGTCAGAAGGCTGTGATGCTGGTCCCCAGGAAAAGCCCAGTACAGCGCTTTTCGGTAGGGAGGTATGGCCATCCCGTGCTGCACCATCCCTGTGCTCTGCATCCTGGGTGTAATGAATTCCTACCCAGGTCGGGCTGCATTGTCAAAACATGCACTCCATAATTTAACAACCATCAAAGCCCAGGACTTCTCCCCATCTGATGGCAGGCCCGCCAAACTATTTGAAATCTAAAAACAAAATAGATATGCTGCCTGCTTCCCTTAGGAATCTGCTCATCTGCCTCAACTGTGGTAAGAAACCTACTATAACAGTTGACAGCAGTACACTTAAGGGTGAGGAGGAATGTATTTACTTACACAAAATTTGCTCCTTTTTTTTTTCCTTTTGTAGGCAGGAAAAGGATTAAAATGTGCATTACTGCAAGAGAAGAACATTTCTGGCAAGTAATTTAAGTGAACACTTCAAAATTCACCCTAATTTATATCTCTACAATATCTTCAGAATATATACCCTTATTTATGTCATTAAAAGGTAAAACCACACTAGCAAACACACAGCAAAAGACGAATATATGTATGCATATGTGCATGTACAGATAGAAAGAGTTCAGAAATAATACTGTCAGTAGATCAGGAACAACTGTGTAGAAAATGTAAAGATATCACAGCATTTCCCTGTGCTCAGAACTCAAATAAATTTAAATGTTTATGGGTAAATGCCATTTTGTATTATAAGAGCACTGAAAAGCATCATACAGGCCACAGCATACAAAGTCTTGCAGGGCAATATGTAAACACTGTTAAATAAGATACAAATGAGTCTATAAACTATAATGAAATTCTGATGTTTCAAAGGCAATGGGACTTATGCCACTGGCTTACTGGGGCAGATTTCATACCATACATACAGGGGATACCACACTTAGGTTTCCCCATTTGCAGGCTTGGAAATGCCTGAAGGAACTAATGACACACTGTTGTCTCCCATCATAATTCACACAGGTAGAGGGAAGACATTATCCCAGATGACTACCCAAGCATAGCAGATTAACACTGGCTATATTAATACTAATGACATAGTTAATGAAATCCCACAAAGTGGGATGCTTCTGGAATTAAGATGGTGATGATACCACATGGCCCGTACCCCGTTCCTCACTGGCCATCTTACTAACCATAGTGCACTTGTTGAGGACTCAGGAGAATGCCTCTTGACAGAGATCTAAGAGGCTGGATTTATTATGATAGGGCATAACTATCAATAGCAATTCACTGTAATTCACCACCTCATAAGAAACGTGTTTTCTGAGGCATAAAGGCATACACTTAAAAAAGCTCAATTGAAAAACAATTCCAGTTGTATCTCCGATTCAAGGTTTTTTTTTCTCACTTACCAAGGACATTTGCATGAAAATAAGATCTTACTCAAGAGCTCACCTGCTGCCTGCTGTCTGGGAGCTGTAAGCCTCCCTGTTGTTGGCTGTTGCAATCATTTCTACAGTAGTGATCTGGAATAACAAAAGTATTAAGACTCCAAGTGGGGCACTACCCACAGCCCACTGAAGTCAATGGAAACTCTTACCTACGACTCAAAGGAGCTTTTTATGGGGCCTCTGAAGCCTGGCAGTGCTGAGCCTTCATTAATAGCATGTGCTGTAAAAAGACTTCTGCTTCCAAGATTGTGGTCCTGACTAAGATGTCCTTTTTTGTAATAGCCTAAACGATGTCTTCTTTCAGAATCTTCATTAAAACTTAAACATTTGTAGTTCACAAGTTTTTCATTCCTACTTTAATTTGCTCTGGGTCTGGATAACTTTATCTTTTGGTCATTTTCCCCTGAGAGTTAAAACTTTAGACTGTGTAATAAATGGATCATAAAATCAATAGAACCAGACCCAAGAGATTAGGCTTTGACAGACCAAAGGAAAGAAATAATTACTAGAGCTTATTCCCATTCTTACTATCAGACAGAATACATACAAAAATGCCCTTTTGTACCAAAAGCCACAAAACTGTCATGCAGAGCATTCACACTTAAGAACTCTGCTTCTCTCATCTGCCAGGATGTGCTTGCTCTCACAGTTTTCATTCCCTCTCTTTTCATTTACCCCCTTCTCACTCCTTTTTGATGACTAAAAGCAAATAGGGAAGAAATGACAGGATGTGGTGATCTGCAGAGCCAGGGCTCTAGCCCCGAAGACTGAGAAGCTCTGTTCCCAAACTACTCACAAAACCCTGCCACTGCACCAGGAAATGGGTCTGCATTTTTGCTGATGAGTTTGAAACTGTAGTGACCATCATGTTTGCCAAGGAGATAACTGCCATAGGACCTAGCCCTTTAAAACCCCCATGGGCATCACCAGGTAGTTCATTAGAGACACAGAGATAGTAGCACTACCAACTGGTGCAGTGAAAACATTTATAAGGTTGATCTTGTAAGGCACTGAGCAACACTCATTTGTACTCAGCATCTCAGGAGCATGGGCAGCACAGGAGATCACCTTGACCTTTTGAGGAATAAGACCTCAGAATTTCACAGTTTGTTGCACTCTTCAAGCACTTAACTTTAAGGGAACAACACTTTGCAAGCAGTAAGGGGGTTTTAGCTGTG